AATTTCTGTGGAACAGACCTATTGTAAAGTCTGTGTGTGTAGGCACCCAATACAGAAACATGAGTCACTCATGAAATATTCATCCACCTGCTTGATGTGACCTACCCTTCCCACCCACTGGCTCCACTAACAACTGCCAGGGCAGGTCTATTGTGTGGGGGTGTCTGCGCTGACTTAGGAACTGTATTATTCAACATCAGGGTGATGTTTGTGTTCTGAAAGGGAGCAAGAGGTCACAGGAAAGAGAAGTACAATCGGTGGAAGATTTCATTGTACTAATGCATGTTGTTGATTCTCCCTTGGAATATTGCTTGTTCAGTATGTGAAATGTCCTTGACCCTTTATCACTTCACTTATCACATCATAGAGTTAATAATAATTGCTTGTCACAAGTCAGAAAGTACCAAATTTATTTATATGGCTTAATGAAAGAGAAAGTAGAATGAAAATTGTTTCAAAACTTTCAGTTAAAATGTGTGTACTTGTAGAAAACATGTAACATTTCAGCTTTGTAGATTTAGAAACACATAGGCCTATCAGATATTTTCTCACCATTCTAGACTTCTAAAGAAAGTTCTTATTCTTTATCTTTGTAGTGTTAGAACCAGTGAAGTGAATGGGTGTGGCCCAAGTGGGACAAATTGACATTGGGCAGTTGTTTGCCTGTATAGCTGTGTCAACAGAGGCCTTTCTTACGTCAATGATGAATAAGACTCTTAGGAAATGCCATTGACTTATAAACCACCGGCCTGTAAATGTTCAAAGTTCAGTTATACAGTAGTGTTCATTACTTTACATGATTTAGATAAACATTTTGTGGTGGCATGCTTATAATCGGAATATTACACTTGAATGTGTGTCAAGTTTTATGTTCTGGATTTGGTTTCTCCTTCATTTGTATCACTTTTTTTGTGTACCCCCCACCCACCCACCACACCCAACCTTCCAACTACATGTAGTAATGTCATCACAGAAAGGTTATAGCATAACGTCTCTGTTAGCTAAAAGAATTAGGATTGTTATGCGATTCCTTTGGTTTGAGTGGAGCAATCCATGATTCCAGAAGAGCTTATCCAGATCAGTTGGGTATTCGTCAATGAAAAATTAAAATTACAATATATTTGTATATGGAGACAAAATTCCTCTTGACATTCTACCGGTACCTAAGAATTACCCATTACTTGGCATTAGAAATCACAATTTCTTGCAGGGTCCTATATCAGTATATGCACACCTTCTAAAAAATTCAGGATATCCTGCCAAGTATTTCTATTTAGGTTGTCACTTCCGCATTTTTCCTTTTGTACTCCTTCTGGTAGCTTCATACCTCCTGTCAGCTTTGGTATGGGTCAGTTCATTTGAGGTAGGCAGCAGTGGTGGGGAGCTGGAACCCAAAGGACCATGTAGTGTAGGGAGGGACCGCAGTTTGTCCACAGACCAGGTGTTTTGACTTTCCTTCCTCTCAGCCTTGACTTGGACCTCGGTACATTTTTCAAATTCTTCAGGGTATCATTCAGTCAGCGTGGTAGCAAATTTTAGAAGGGTAGGTATGTCCCATTTATTTCTGTCCAGAGATAGGCTAGATATTGTTTGTTTTAAAGGGTTGAATATCAAGTCTGGTACATCAAGGTTGTTCTAATGGCTTAGGGTTATTAACACGTGGCAGTGGGCCAGCCAAACAAAAATGGACTACCTGCAGACAATATTAAAGCACACATGTACATGGTGCTACACTCCATGTGAAGTAGCATTCTTTGTTTGACCTTGTACTGTAGTTCTCATTAACCAACTACATTTGTCTTGAGACCACCAGCAAGGCATGATCTTTAGATGAGTTGGTATCCTGGCATTTAAAAACATTTGCATATACTGTTCTTTGTAGAAAGTAATATATGTAATTGGGCAGTACCAATTTATTATTGATCATTTCATGGCTGATCCAGTTGAAATTCTATACAATTTGTCCAGGATATTGATTTGTTTTGCTGACAACTTTGGACTGGAGTCAAAGTAAATTGCGATATCATGCCCCTTTGATATGTCACCCCTGACATGTAGGTACACATACCAATCCATGACGGTGTACAGAAGGTAGGGTTTGTCTTGTGACTGTGATTCTGTGGAAGTAGCGGTAGTGATTACCTTTGCCCATATCCTTTTGTGTCTTGTTTGTAGGCTGATCCAGTTATTGGTAAATAACTACTACTATATCACAGATGCCTTTTACTGTACAGGTATGCTTGTAATGGTTCATCCATAGATCTTTGGACCATTTTGTAAGCTGAGATCTAGTGATATACCCATGTAGTCTTTGATGTGTCACCTGTGATTTCAGGTGTTCAGGTCAAACCCATGACCCATGGAGTGTAGGAATTGTTGAGTCCTTATTTAGTTTCAGGCTGAATGAAACAGGAAGGATCCACCCTCCGATCTCCTGCATTCTCAGCTGAGAATGTTTGAAATACAATCTGTAGCTTTGGTGTACTTCCATTCACCATAATGTCCTCTAGGTACACAGGTTAACTGTAGTATTTGGCAGGAGGTTTCTGATATTGTTGAAGTTAATTTCTCGATATAACAGCACTTTTCAGATTGACAGGCTTTTTATCATAGATATAGTATTAATGATGTATGTTGTTGATAATCAAAGCATAAACAGGATGTCTTTTGTATGAATTACCAGCTGAGCAAAATATTCCCAGATATCAACCTTGCCACATCCTGAGTATGCTGTTAATGATTGGTTTGTATTATATCTATATGTTTATACATTGTAGCCGCCTTGATTGTATTGTAGCTACATTATAGTTGACATAACTTTAACCATCAGTCAATATGAAACACATAACCAACACTTATTGTACTGTACTGTGTATTGTACGAGTCTACGGTTAAACATTTTGTTGATCGGTACCACCCAAAAGGGTAACATAAATATTTACAGCTAGCTGTCCAAAAGGGGGTGTTTGTTTTGGGTCCTACATCATCAATTTTGGATCTTCTTTGAAATAAGAAGTAGACACCTAGCTCAATTTTTCAACCTTATATCCGCTTTCCTGTTCCTATTTTCAAATTTTTATGAAGGCAATATATGTAGAATGCAAAATGCAGCTTAGCAAACATGTACTGATATTTATCAACAAGGTCAGTACTGTTTGTGAAGCAGGAATCCATTATCAGTTGTTGCCACACACCTGCCCAACATTGCAGCAGTAGAGTCCATTCCGCGTCACCGAGTGGGTTGTTATTGTCATTATTTAGAAATGTTTTGAATTCTTTGTAATTGTTTGTCTAAGAAATTTCATAATTTGGAAATATTTTGAACATCTTGTCAATATTCTAAATAATTCCCTGGTTTTCTAAAACGTTTGAAATATTCCTGATGTGGAATATGACATTTCCAATAGTTTCTAAATATTTCTAACAGCACTCTACCATTTTTTACCATTATTTCGAATTATTTCTAACATTTTGTAAATAGGTCAGTGGGATGGGAAGGAAGTAATTCACACATCCCTGTGAAGTACAGGGTAGACTGCCTGGGTGTCAGGCATTGATGCCTTACAACAAAAGAGCCACCAGTGTCCAGCAGTGAAAATCTAAAAAATATAACAGAAGAATACAGAAGAGTAGGATTAGCACCTACTTTTATGGGGGCAATTACCCACATCTACCATTTTTCATTTGTTTGAAATAGTTCTAAATATTTCGAATAGTGAAAGAAACAAATGGGTAGTTCAAATTTATTCTAAATAAAGAGATCTTTGTACAGTCACTTTCAAAATGTTTCAGAAATATATAAATGAATTCAAATATATTCAAATTTTCATTTTCAAATTTTTGAAAAATTTAGAACTTTTGTTACTAGGGTATTCTTTTCTTCTAAATAATTCAAACGTATTAGAAACATGGAGAAAAAACCCACTCGGTGACGCGGAATCGACTCTACTGTTGTATAAACCATTCTCCTGGTGTGGGTCAGTGTAAGGTAGGCACGCAAACATGGGGTACACACATAGGCTCACGGGTCGCTTCTTTGGGATGGTCTCACAAATGTTTAGGTCATTCCAGGAAAGCCAATTTTTAGAACAGTGAAATATTTATGAGAGCCAAATCACCTGAAGAACAGGCCTCGGAAAGAAAAGTTCGGATTGTTTGGACATGTGTCAGTCTGTTATCAGCTGATTAAGTATTAGTAAGTTGGCTTGATTGTCGGTAACATTTGGCCTTTAACCTTTGTTCCAAACATAACAAGTGGCCAGGCATGTTGACCTTGGAACGTGGCACTGTAGGGACCACTGGACAGTCCAGTCTTTCCCTACATACTTGTTGTAGCCTAGGGTTTTAGGTTTAACATTTACTTGTCATAACCTGTCAAATGTCAAAGACTTTATACAATGAAAGGCTTTCTATAGAGCCATCTACAGTCGTATTATGGGTTAGTCAATATTATGTAGTCTTACTACTTAATTACTACCATTCTGAAAGAAAGGTTTTTCTTGTAGAAACCATGTGCAGATTTGTGTAATACCCAGGCATGTATACAGCTTCAGGGTCCAGTTGATAGAACCAGGTCACTGCTACAGGACAAATGGAGGATAGACAGTTCAGTGGGAGGGATGAGACGGTTCTGCTATAAATAAACAGTGAGCACAGCATCACCACAAAGGGCCTTTTAACTCATGTTGTGGCTAGTCAATCAGCAATCAGTTGATCACTCAGTCGTCAGTCATTCTTTAGCCATCAGCAGTTTGCCATGATCTCTAGTAAAACACTAGTAAGGAAGTATGAACATAATGATTAAGGTACAGGTGATTCTGCAGAGTATCTCCAAATTATTTGCAGAAAAACATAGTGCTGTTTCTTCATTTCGGGTCATGATTACATTTCTTGTAAGTTGTATGGTAGTAGTAATTTTACTTAGACAAAAGTATATGCTGCCATTTCAATGTCGTATGTTTTTCAGATCAACACTCATGATTATATTCTGTATTTTGCAGGTCAGAAGGTGATGGGCACACAGTAAACTGTTCACCTGTCAGCTGGGAGACTTCAGTAGAGATGCACGGTCACCTGGATTACAGCACCTGAGGGACTTACACTGACCTGGATCAACCCACCTGAGGGACTTACACCTGTCACTGGGCTGGATCACAGTCTTTCACTGGAATGCAGCTGATTTTTAATGGAAGCAATAAGCCATATTGACCAGACATGGGATGTAGAGTTTGTAGGGAGGGTTTCAGCAGGTCTGTGTCATTAATATGACCTCTCACACCAAACGGGAGTCCCCACACGGAGACAGTCGTGAGAATCTAGGGGTGGACCTGCTGGATACGACCTCTGCTCGGTTACGGGCGCAGCAGGCTGCAGAGTATTACCACAAGTCGGTGCTGCAGAATGGTAGCAGCCCACACAGCACGCCACCAGCACGGGAGATATCGGGACAGAAATCAGCGCGGGAAGACAGCCCAAAGGTGAACGGTAGCAGCGCAGGGAGTTCCCCTGGAAACACAAGTTCAAGACATGCAGTCAAGATTCACCTGAATCTCAGTCGCTCATCTCCTCCAAAAGCAAACATGAACAATAACACACCTTACGCGGACGAACGAATGTCCCCACGAGCTCGCTTGGGGCCACACCCACGGGCCAGCATGCATGCGGTCATAGCCGAGAACAGGTCGTATCGTAAACCCAAATCTAAAGTGGACCCATACAAGGGAATGGACCTGGCAAGGGAAAGGGGAGGGCATGGCTTGTTACGGTCCAAACGATCCAACAGTGACTTGAGCTTGAATGAAGTAACTGAAGAGTATTTGGATGGTTCCCTCAGACGGGAGTATGGGAGCACCTCCTCACTAGAGGTACAGAGTGTCGGTGGCGAGAGCTTCTTTGCTATGTTGAAGGACCTTCGGCCAGACATTTCATTTGACCAGCGTAGCCCTGCCCCACCCAAGATACAGGACTACCTTCGGTGCAGGGCTGATGGCACGTTGGTGGAGGCCTCTGGACGAGTTGTAAACGGTGTCCCTGAGGAACCCAGACCTCAGAACAGCTCCTCCAGCCCCAAACTCAGCAGAGCAATGACTCCACGAGCGAAGGAGAAACAGATGAAATACTCGCGCTCAAAATCTGCAGGGGGTGAGTCCTCCCTCTTCAGTATGCTGCTAGGGACTAAGAAAGAAGGACCAGACTCCATGAAGTCACCTGACGCAGAGGTGGACGGTCGCCTGGACGATAAGTTGCGTAGACGAGCATTCTCGCACTACGATTGCCAGAGCATGACCTTTAACCTTTCGGACGTTGTCAGAAACAAGGAGTACCTGGAGCGTAGAAGGAACACGACAACAGGCGCGTCCGCAGCATCCTCAATACGGACTAGCCATGCCTCCAGTCCCCACAACAGTACTGAGGACCTGTCTATACAGGAACTGGATCTTGGGGATGGGAAGAGCAATAATCTCGTGCTCAGTTGTCCTTTCTTTCGGAACGAGCTCGGTGGAGAGGAGGAGAGGAGAATAAGTTTGTCGCGGGGTAATGGGGGTAGTCGGGCCTCGCGGGCATTTCGCGAGGGGATGGGACCAAATCTAGACTCCATGTCAGGATTGAGACCAACGACAGCAAGTGTTTCAGTGTTGGACACAGGCCCTGATCAGGATGATATGTGGCCGGTCGGGGGCAGAACACGTGGGTATGCCATCGAACACGTGGACCACGGGGCGTACTACTTCAGGAGGTACTTCCATGGACAATGTGAGTACCATTTTATTGTGAAGATTTTAGCTGTAATAAAAGTGAACAGTATTGAATCTGGACTGCTTTTTTCCCATCAGCTTTGTCCAGTACATAGAACAGTCCATGTAATGTTGGTGTAACCAGATCAACAGCAAAGTAGTTACCAGGAATGTGACAAAACTATCACAAGATGCCAACTCTGGGGCACCCGAGGCCAGAAGTTAAAAGTGCACACAGTTTTGTTTTAACAGGGCAGCAGGAGCACTGCACCCTAGTGCTCATGCTGTCTTGAACCATACCACAACTCAGAAAGAGGAGATTCACCTTTCATTTCTGCTACTCAGTGGCCTGTATGTAGATGGCCCCTCCTCGGCCTCTTTTCAAACTTCAGTCTGCCTAATGAGTAATACATCAACAAAGTTACACTGTATTAGTAAGTTTTCAAGTCGCAAATTTCAAACCTCTGATTCAATGTCATACGTGTCTGTTTATACCAAACATCAAACAGTAGAAGTGCACTGTCATTGCTATTTTAGTATGGTACAGTGATAAAAGGATTGTTGGTGGAGGGTTTTGAAAATAAAGGGTTTGAAAGTCAACTGCAGGTCTTCGCATTAACAGAGATATGACCAAGAGGGACTGGTGACTGAAATATTGTCTTCTATTTTTCATTGTGGGGAGAGAGGGAGGAATTTTTAAGTGAATGTCCCTGGCACTTGTGACAGGTTAGCCAATCTATGGCAGCTAGAGCTGTTGTTTATGTTGCCAAGTATTTCTCAGTGATGTAAAGTATACAGTCTGGGATTAAAGACTTTTTAAATAGTTCCATGAAGGATAATGATGGGGCTGCAAAATGATTCAACATTAGGTCAGGGAATGTGAGTTGTGGGGTTCAGGTAACTCAATACCTCCCAATATCTGTAATCAGACAGGAGTGATGACATAATGACAGGAAAACCTTCTGCCCTTCCTGCTGTACTAAGGAGAGATGAATGTGGGAAACATTATTCTGGAAGGGAAGTCAGGTTTATATGGCAGCTGTGCTGGTAACTCATATCATATATGGTCAGACATGTAGCAATCTTTATGAATTATCTGGGAACAATTTTTGTACCACTGATTTTCATTTTAAAATTTAGATCTATTTGGTTTAATTCTATTCAAGACACTTTTAAGTTCAGGCAAGTTTTTATCAAAATCCAGAGAAAGTCCATTAGCAGGGAGTAGAATGTAAATCCTGCAGCAGCAGTGTAAATATGTGCAGGTCACCACCTGACCCCGTTTCAGCCCACATACCAGACATGCAGACTGGTCACTCCCTTCATTTAGCACAGACAGGTGTTCTCCTGTACAAATAATGTACATGTCACTTGTGCAGAGTCTGTCCAGCCTGTCACAGCATCACAGAAAGGCCCCTTCATAGGTTCAGTGTGGAAGATATAGAAGCTGACTTGTATGTAACCTTTAGACATGTGGCTACTGTGTACAGTCAGTGTTAATTGTTGTACTTGTTGACAGGACCCCATGCTGTAATGAGTTCATAGTGATAACATGTTTTATCTATGGACAGTTGAGACATTTGTGCCTGCAGCTTCCAGAATGTAGGAGCACGTTGTATTACTTGTATAGGACAGGTCAGAGTAAGGAAAGTATGACATTGTCATCATTAAAACAGCTTGAAGTCTGCCAACCCAAAGTTTGAAAGGTTTCAAACAGGAGCAACATCCTGTCAACCTGTCATTGTCAGGACAAGTTGAAACACTTTTATCAGATGGCTGGTAGTGATATACATGCCTCCAGGGAGAAAATGGCAGTGAATCTCCAGTTGTGGTGACTTGCATATCTGGTCAACCACCTAGTCCTATCAATAGAAGGAAAGAATTTATTGATTTTTAGAACAAAGAAGACTTGATATGAGAAGTCCCTCAAATTCAAAATCAAGAACACAGAGATCAGGAAGTTTTATAAAACACAGATGGCAAGTGAAAGAAATACAGCTCAATGACTTTAGCAGACCCGATGAATGCATGCCTTGGGGATTGGAGTTGTCTTGACCTTCCTGTGTGGAGGTCATGGCTAGATGGCTTCCCTAAGGATGTCTGGTATTTACAGACTCTTGTTGAGGCTCCTGAGGTGTTTGTTTTTACAGACACAGGTATCAGGGGCCAGAGTTCAGGTATTTGTTAGGGGCCATGTCACAATGCTGGGTATGAATTGGAAGGGCAGGTTGCGATGGAAACAGCTATTGTCAGCCAAGACCCTGGCAACAAGAATGGTGTAGGGGTGTGCTTTCCTCACCATGGGATTGTTTGTGGTAGAATAGTTACATGTATGCAATAACATTAACATTGTCTATTGGAGCAGAAGAAAATGGAAGAAAAAAAATCACAGTATAGGAAGTTGAAGTCTGATTTTTAACCTTTTTTTCCATAGATATAGTTGTTTGCAAAATCACAACTAACGTTTACTTTTAATTAGATATTTTGGCCGAAGACTAAGAGAAAAGGAAGTGCACTTGGATGACATTAACCCAGTCATCTTCTTGTACTTTTATAAAGTCAATTTCAATTCCCTTCATGTTTTGTAAGTTTTATAGTACAGAAGACATTATGTAGTATAAACTGAAGAATATGTGCTTTACTTTCATACAACCTGACCTGTGCCCCTTGAGTAGATCTACCAAAGGTCCTGGTGGCATTTTTCCTGCCAAAATAAACACATTATGTGACTCTGAGGGTTGTGTCACAGGACTGGGACTGTGAACCCAGGGAATGACTTTGCCATAACTTATAAGGGTAGAATGTTTGTGTACTGAGAATCTATGGTCATAGTACAATATACGTTTTGGTAAATTAATAGAAACAATATACATATCACAACCCTAGCTGTCTCATGGTCTCATACTTCTTACAGGCTATGTACATGTATTCATATTTATGGTATGGCCTGGCTCATAAAACCCAAGTCTATCCATACTAGACAAAGTAGGTAAGTGATATATTTTATCCGACAGACCCAATAAAACATCTATCCAATCAGCTCATACTCATAGATCTTGGGTTGTCAGAATGGGACAGTCCATCTCTAGGAAAGAAGGGGACAACTTTGATTTAGTGTAGAAGCACTGGTAAAATCATTCAAAATTAAAAGCAGCTATAAAAGTGTTTGAACCCACAAAATGAAAGGGACATCAAAGTTGATAATTGGTTTGTGGAAAGGATACAATGTAACATGTAGATGGAGTGAAGCAAAACTGAATACTAATTTAGCAACATGGAAGGTTGCCAGCACATTGAGTGAACTGGTGGTCTAGAAAATTATCTCATCTTGCCTCCTTGTCTGGAACGTTTGATGTAAAGGAATAGGACATCCTGGGAAAAACATAAAGACTGCTAATGTGGCTGCCATTTAGTCGTCATAAAGTTCAATAATGGGAATCCCTTTCAGGGGTTCTTGGGGTGTTCTGAAACACTTGAATTTTAATGTCAAGTGTTGGTGGTACCCACAGCAGTTATATTACCAGCCTGGTGCCCCGCAGGCTGGCATGGTGCCAGGGCCGACAGACACAGACTATTGGAAATCAAGAAAAGCAAGTCGCGTCTGTGTTTTAAGTGCCATTGTGGCAACCTGTTGAATAGGTAAGTTGATTGCACCTTGTTAGCTGGAGATGGGAAAGTGTTGTTATTACTGGAGGCAGGAAAAGTAGATGTATGGAGTATGGACGGCAGGTTCTCAGTACAGGTGGATGTCAGCCACCTGAACACTATAGGTAAGGGCAGTTACTCTGTCATATAACCTGTGCAGAAGAAGTATTATGATTATTCTAAACATTCTTTTCGCTGCTTGAAGACTCTCAGCTGACTTTTAATAGTTTTATTGTTACTGATGAAATGTGGGGGCATCCATGAGTGTAACTGCAGAAATTGCTTTTTTATGGCTATGATGTTAGGATCATGATTTTATGTATCACGTTTTAAAAGATAAACATGTTGCAAGGTCATAAACTCACAGTCTTTCCAAAAATACCCAAGTGTTGGCCCCACCATCAGTGAGGCTTGACTTTGTAATCTATGATTTTTGCCTTACGGTGATAAGAGAGAGGTAATTTTGTGCATGAAAGTTTGAGTTAGTATTCCAGTGGGAGGAGTCATTGACATTTCCAACACAGATGGCAGGTTTCCTTCTATGTTCATGTTCAGATGTGTGAGGATGTATCCAGGCCATTCCCCACAAGCCCAGCTGTTGTACCAAACTGGCTAATTCTTTAGCTTATGTCATGTCCCAGTGGATGGAGCTAGATGTATGGACAGATCTGATAAGACAGATCAGTCTCACCCCTGTGGTGGCATCAGGCAGATCCTGTCATCTGGTGCTGCTGCCATTTCACATGTAATCTTCTCAGCAGGTTTATGGATTCACAGAAAGTTTAGTACATCTTTCTGTGGGTTTATGGAACATTTGGTTATACGAATTGGTAGGTCTAAATTGGACTGCGGTATATTGGTGTGCAATAAACTAGATCTACAGCACATTTGGAACATGTTTATTATACTTGCAAAATCTAGATGGTATAACTAAATTTGGGATCACAGAATATTGGACACAGGAGGATTTTAACTGACAGACACCATCAAATAGCTTCTTAGTTTAGATTTATAGAATATTTGGTACATCTTGATTTTGTGGCACACCTTTATCTACATTTGGATTTACAGATGATTTGGTATATCCAAATTTGGATTTATACTTTTAAATTATAGACTATGTAGTACATCGAAATTCAGATTGACAGATCATTCGCAACATCTAAATTACAACATATCTGATACACACACAACGTGTGGTGGTACACTACAGTAACAGCATGATTTGAATGGACACAGTATAATCTGTATGTATACTCTAAATTTCTCTTAGTTAGACTCATATAACATTTTCTATATGACAATGTGCTTATGTTTCATTGGGTATTAATAGCAAAGTTTGTGATGGAAGAAGTAAGAGCCATAAGGTTATCAGTTTGATACAGATGTCATTACATGTTTTTCATACAGTAATACATCTTAGTAATTCTTGGCCACAAATAGTTTTAAATTGTTGCATAATCATAAGGTTACTCCCAGTAATGCTTGATTTTGAAACTTGATTTTGACAATAAAAACAGATGTGTTTCCTGGAGCATGAGGACATACAACATGCATTGATAATAACAAATAAAATCATACACACCCCACTGGTTAGATTTGATAACATTTAGATGTTAGATCTCTACATGAACATGAAGAGATAGTGAAAATGTAGCAATAAAGAAAATCATTTGTACTTACTGTTGTTTAGGGAATTATTGTAGACAAAAAAAATGTTTAAAAGAATTCTCGATTTTTTTCAGAATATAATATCATGTGACATAACAGGCAACTGGACTTGGTTGTGAAGCTTTATTTGTCCTTTCGACGTGTCCATTTTTATCAACCTGCAACTGCTGTGTTCATGAATATGACCCAACAGCTGACAGATAAACGTGTCCCTGTGGGTTCCCACCTTGTAGATCACTATCTTCTAATAATCACTGGATGACAGCAAATGTTGAAGATTCCTCTGGGGCATAGGCAGTAGATTTATGTGGGGTTGATATCTTTTGTTCATTAATGATTTCCTGTACTAAAGGTGGCTTCCCGTGACATTTCAGTGCATACAAGCTTTCAGTAGGTTATTGTTTCCAGAAATATGGCTGTTGCGTCACTCAGTGACAGACTTTTTAAAAAATAATTTATATGTACTATTGTACAGCATACTAGTATATGACATGAAGGAAAATTATTGTAGATAATCTTTTTCCATGTTGTTCCTTGTAGTTACATGTAGACCTCACAAGACAGATTTGTCCCTTCAACTGGAGGTGGTTGATTATTAAAGATCGTAATATATTCACTCAAACCAGCTTATCCAAGAATGCTGAAAATGCAGAGCGTATCAAAATTTAGAGGGTATCATGCATAAAAAACTTTTATTTTATCACTTCATGATATATGCATGGTACCCACACATGATACAAAATCATGAAGTCTAACAGTACCAGGAAGATAACTTAAGGCTGTCATGCTATATTTTATGTATTTACATGTATATACATTTGCCCATGTATGTCTCAATTTGAATCCAAACTTATCATGTTTTACTGATGATTGTTGTAACAGCTGATGTCCAGAACTACTTGGGAGTGGATGAGAACCTGGGCCCCATCGCTATCAGCATCCGCAGGGAGAAGCTACCAGATCACAGCGGCACCAGCAGCTCAGCAAACAAAGATGGTGGCTCTCCTGTACCTGCTCAGTACATGTACCGTCTCATCATCAGGACCAGTGATGTAAGTCAACAACACTGGTTTTGTAGTAAGGCTGGAAAACAGATGGACACAGATTTTGTATGGAACATGGAAGTCACGGAGGATTTAATTTACATGGAATCATGGAGGCCCTTGTCTGTTTTTAGGCCTGTCATTGGCCTGACAAAGTGACATACATGTACAAATGAATTACTCTGTGCACCTGCAAAGGTATCGGAAACAACCACCAATCCAACAGCCTCAGTAGCCGTTCACATATCAGTGAAAATTTCATATATCAAACTGCTTACAACTTCAGAAAGCATAGAAAAATGAGTGACTCAATACATATATTCAGCTCCAGTAATTAAATTTTTTTTTCAATTAAAATTGTGTATGTATCTGTGTCAACAAATAAGGCCAGTTTTCTGTACTATTATACAAGCTATGTTCTCTTACTCCACAGTTGGTAACTCTGCGAGGGTCTATCCTGGAGGATGCCATCCCTTCCACAGCTCGACATGGTACGTCCCGGGGTCTGCCCATCAAGGATGTTCTGGAGTTCGTCGCCCCAGAGGTCAACCTCGGCTGTCTGCGCCTCGCCTCGCTCAGCCCAAAAACATCGGAACAACTGATGAGACTGGACGAACAGGGCGTAAGTCTGAGATTCTACAAACATCATAGTCATCAGCATGTGCTGCAAAATATCATCATGCCATATGGTCTCAATGAATAGTGGCCATCTGACTGATTTGAGTATTTCATGCATAAAGGCTCAAGCAACCTGTCAATGGAACAAGACTTTATTCCAGGAAAGGTTGATGTTGTTCTCCTTGACAGCAGATGTGCATGCTTGCTCTAGCCCCATTACATACAGCTGAAGTGACTACCTACATCTCATGAATGTTGGATAAATTCCCTTTGAAAAGATTGCAGGGCCTTCAATATGCATGACATAACCTCAGTTAGCTGTATTGCTTTGAACAAGTAATTGCCTTTAGTACAAGGAGGCACTTTACTCCACTTTACTTCACAGGATCCATTTATAATGTGAGTTTCTGCAAGACAGCTTCTTTGAAGAGATGACATCTGCCATTAGTAATTGCACTCAGGGTTATGTAAGCTACAGTTGCAGTGTGCTCATGCTTACGAACAGATCCAAGAGGTTTGATGTAAAGCTCTCACTGGAAATGCAATTTGGCATGAGTAAAAGCCTTTGATCTGGCAAAAGTAGGAAGGGAAGAACTCCAGGATATGACTGGTGTGATTTATTGATGTTGTGATATTTGATTTCATCTTCCTGGACAAAGGTCCTAAAATGGTAAAGCAGAGGGAGATGTTGAACATCACTCAAGGTTCATGATCTAACTACAGCATGTTACTGTGGAAGTTCTCCCAATGCCTATTGATTGACCAGGTTGGGCTTACAAACATACATATCCAGACTCCTGCAGAAACAGAGCATGGTCCTGGTCTCTGGTAGTGGTAGCATGGCTGACATGCCCCAGAAAACTAGCCATAATTCATTTTACTGGCACAACCTGCCAATTAGCTTGACTGCATTTCATTGAGTCTAGGTCAGTCTTCTGAACAACTTAATGTGCCTAGAACCTGTACTAATGGTGTCAACAGTGAGAGGGCTTTATTTGACTCTTCTTGCAAGATTATGGACACCCAATAATCAAGAGAATGTTTGATGATTATATTTGATTTATCTAATTTATGTTTATTTACATCTCATATATACTATTACAACACATAGGTTATGCAGGCAAACATATAATGTCACAGATTCGCAGAAGCTGAATATTTTGCCTAGGACTTACAAGATCTGTGATGCCTCCCTTGATATTAAAACAGCTCTTGTGTTCCCCCAGATCTCTACCCCAGTACAAGGTGGGCATCCTGTACTGTAAGACTGACCAGGGCACAGAGGAGGAGATGTATAACAATGGTCAGTATCTTCTCATTCACTCTTGTCTAGCCTCATAAGATTTCCTTAACCACTGAAATGTCTCCAATCACTCCCCCTTGTGTCCTCTTTACTCTCCTGAAGGTATCGCTCAGCTGGTACGTGTGTACCCTTCAAGTCACCATCTGTAAACATAACTGTCTATGATAATGTGTTACTGTGCTAATCAGCATAGAAACATTACTGACATCTATGCTGTCCTGTTCTTTGGCTCCACAGAGTCAGCCGGTCCCATATTTGATGAGTTTCTGGACACACTGGGAGAGCGTGTTCGTCTCAAGGGCTTTGAGAAGTACAGAGCACAACTGGATAACAAAAGTGAGTGGATTTCACCGTGGTGACATTTATTGACAGTATTATTATGGTGTAGATGATTTATCAACAAAAGGAGCTCCTGATTTCTTTTGACAATACATCAGTCCTATTTTCATGAAAATTTATCAGTCACAAGACTTAAAATGCTATACATTAAATGGTATGGAGACATTAATATTCTTATCTTCTATATGATATATAAAAGTAATAATACCTTAATTATTTTGACGTACATGGCTAACCGGAAGAAAACTCTTGATTGCTATCCCCCACAGCGGACTCCACTGGTAGCCACTCCCTGTATGCCACATACAAGAACTGTGAGGTGATGTTCCATGTGTCCACCATGCTGCCATATACACCAAACAATAGGCAGCAGGTAAATATGGTGTTTCTTACCTACTGTTATTGCTATTTCTACAAGTTATAATACTGAAGTTGGTAACAAAATCTTTGACTAGAGGTGCAGTTGTGAAAAGCACCCACATCAAGAACTGTGCCCATGTAAAGAAATTGGCCCACATGTGCAGCGCCACCTAGCAGTGGGAAGCAATACTACAGCAATCAACTGAGCCATGGTATGCTGCATGCTGCATATACAGTTAACTTGTAGTGACTTCAGACACTTATCGTGCCCCTTATTTACCTCCCCAGCTGCTGAGGAAGCGACACATTGGGAACGACATTGTGACTATCGTGTTTCAGGAGCCAGGTGCACTGCCCTTCACTCCAAAGACAATCCGCTCACATTTCCAGCATGTTTTCATTGTGGTACAAGCCATCAATCCAAACACAGACAACGTTATGTACCAGTAAGTCACTGCCAACTTCAATATGTAGCTCTTGCCTTTTCATTGTTTTCTTGTACATTTTTTCGAAAAATATGACAGTTTTTATCATATTCTGTCACAAATATCAGCAACTTGCCTCTCCTTGAATCACTTACCAAAAAGTTACAAAACCTCAGCAGGTAGTTAGTAACATCTTGTTTCAGAGATTACTCAGTAATATTGACTCTTGTTTTGCAGAGTGACTGTGGCCAGATCCAAAGATGTTCCACCCTTTGGCCCCAGCATGCCTGAGGGTGCAACCTTCCCCAAATCTGCTCAGTTCAAGGAGTTCCTGCTTGCTAAAAGTAAGACTTATTCTTGACATGATGAATGTAGCATGGGTTTCTTGTGGCCATTTTTTTCACTTTAAGTCCTTGTTAAGGATTTGGAAATTCTTTCTATTCCCTGGTTCAATCATCAACATGGCTTTTTGTCTACACAGTTATCAATGCAGAGAATGCAGCCCACAAGTCTGAGAAGTTTGCCGCCATGGCTGTCAGGACCAGACAGGAGTACCTGAAGGACCTGGCAGCAAATAGCACGACAACAACATCCATCGACTCAACACTCAAGTTTGGTGAGTCAGTTTTCTCAGATGAAGCAGACATTCAACAGGTACCTTGTATGACACTAGTTTTAAAACATAATCTGTTGTTCTTACATTTTGTTTGAACCTTTCCCTGCAGGGAAGTTCTCTCTAAGCGGGAAGAAGAAGGAGAAAACCCGTCCCAGACTGGCCCCTGAGCTGGCCAGCACAGGAGCCATCATCTGGGACATACAGGTGGGACCCTTGTGTACTAGTCACCTTTGTTATATTCAATCAACTGTCAAGGAACACTGATAACCAGGGTCCTAAAATATTTTATGTATGTAGACCTTCCTTAAAATTTTCAACAATAGTAGGTACAACATATGATCGTAATAGGAGGAAAGGGACTTAATGGGAGCAAACTAAATTTATGGAACGTAGTTTGTTGCTACTGAGGAGTTGTGAGTAAATTGGATGTTTTGAGTTAAACAGTTCTAGTTGCTTAGTAATCTTTGACCTGTCTGTGCGTCCCCAGATTGAGGACTTCAGCACGTCCACCACAGTAGACTGTATCCTGGGCATCTCCAGTGAGATGTTTGTACTGGTGGACGGGGAGGTGAAGGAGGCTCTCTTCTCTACACCCTGCAAGTCTGTCATCGGATGGACATCACAAACAGATGGGTCAGTACAACTTAGGATACACCTGATACAAGCATTTTTCTCTAGGAAATTTTTAGAAAAATCTACTTATTACATCCACTGTGAGATTCTTTTTTGACAAACACCGGTTCCCACCACTTAATAGTTCAGCCTTGATTCTTTGTCATTAGGATGGAGGAAGACTAAGTAGCCCTTTGTTTGGTTATAACATTTCATTAACTGGTTTCTTACAATTATATGGCATATAAAAGAGTTAGGTTTAAGGCTTGGGTAATTTAAAGACAGGGCTGGAGTCTTAGATTGCACTTGAATTGATATAGATCTGTTTCCCCTCCCTCCTGCAGGTTGAAGGTTTACTACAACCGTGGGGAGTGTGTGGTGATGAGCTGTCCTGACTCGGAGGCAGAAGTGACTGAGATTGTGGAGAGACTGATGAGAGTCACACAGGGGTGTGAGGTCAGTACTTTCCTTCTTAATGTCTTCCAAATTTACAGTAAAAATTGGAAGTAACACTATCACTTGTATCATAGTCTCCAGTTACTGATGAATTCTAAGAATAAAGATGGAAAACTGTAAGCTGTAAGTACTATCTGCTGTGTACTGACACAATTCCTGTATTTGACTATTGACAGACCCTGGAGATGACCCTCAGACGGAACAGCCTGGGTCAGCTGGGCTTCCATGTTGACCTTGAGGGCATGGTGGCAGAGGTCGAGCCGTATGGCTTTGCATGGCAGGCAGGGCTGAGACAGGGCAGCAGACTGGTGGAGGTGAGCTGAAGCAATCTAATTTTGAACGACTGAAGCGATCTAATTTTTAATGATGGATGAGCCAAATAGATATCCATAAGAAAGCACAATCATTATGGAGGAACTTGAGAAACTTCAAGTCTGCTGACTGCTGACATACACAAAGAATGTCAGAATTCTTTTAATGATTCACTCAATAAAGGCATTGCCTGGGTTTTGTGTGAAGGTTAGGAAGTCAAAATGACCCAATTTTGTTCACCCACTTGTGTATGAATGGAAAAATTCTAGACAGAAATGTGATGTAATTCTAGCCGCTTGTAAGTTGTGGGGGTACAAAGTCATTAAATATTCAGTGATGATATACTATAGCAGGTGTCTCTGCTGGCTATATATAGAAAACTGACCTAATTGTAAGTTGCAGAAGAAAAGAGGTACATGTACCAACAACAATTTCTGTGGCAATAAGCAACAAATGCTACTGCAGATAGAGGTTCCTATTTTTTACATCACTGGTATTTTCCAAACGTTACAGATCTGTAAGGTTGCTGTAGCCACACTCAGCCATGACCAGATGATTGACCTGCTGAGAACATCGGTGACTGTGAAAGTGGTCATCATTCCCCCCATGGACGACGGCACACCCCGCAGGTACAGCTTTCATTATTTGACAACACAACAAATAAAAAGCTGATATGTGTAAAATATTAGTACATGCCTTGATCTTTGTACCTGTATCTGGGTCCATTCCAGCCCCTTATTTGTAGAATATAGAATTTTGTGAGACTTTTTTTGTAGAAGACAGATACCAGAATGTTTCATTGACCAAGGCCATGTATGATACTAAAGTGTAGATTTAGTGGAAAAAAGAGGACACTTTGGACAGTCCTGTTTGTTCATGACAAATTGTGACTAGAGAGTGATCAGTAGAGCTGCATACTTTTTCTTATGAACATTAGCACGGGCACCATAGGATCAGCATGGTACTGGTAACTCCCAGTAGTTCAAACTGTGTTTGTTCCCCCAGGGGCCTGTCGGACCAGTATTCCAACTACTCCACATTGGAGTCCAGCGTGTCGTCCCACTCCTCTCAGGAACGTTCTGACGATGACAGCGTGTCTGGCGCCTCGCGAACCTTAACCAGCTCACGCAACTCCTCACTCAGGTCCAACCAATCAGGTAAGGTTGCCTGACTTTGTTGCAGTTTTCTTGTATAGAACTATTATTTAATATGAAAGAGATAATGTGCACTTTTGAATTTATGTCATAATGTGATGCACCATTTTTTATCCTTAAAATCTTTGAAGATTGACCAATGGATTCCTCAGACCAAATGAAGAGTAGACTAACCGTATGTTTATCCTCCCCAGCTGCTATCCAGACCACACAGCCCCAGAGGTCGTCCTCCTCCTCCCCCAGTGCTCGGCAGGGCAGCCCGTCCCAGTTCCGCTACCGCCATGAGTACGGGCACGGGCGTGACTCTGGCGGGGAGCTGCGGAGACAGGTGCTGGAGGGGATGAGCGGGCGGGAGGGGCGGTACAGCCGGGACTCCCCCTCCTCCACCCTCCCCCTGCTGGTGGGACAGGACGAGCCCAGTCTCATGGAGGAGAGACATCGTGCCGAGAACGTCGACACACATGTTGGTAAGGCACTGTCAAGTACTCAACCTTCCTCCTCCTTAGGAGTTAACAGCATATAAATAATAATGGCCATCTGTCCAGTCTCCAAGTAAGTATGAGCTTCATTGTTACAGTGTGGGCTAAATTCAAACACACCTGCACTACTACTTGAAATGTTGTGCCTTTCTAGTAGAAACTTGCTCACAACACATGACAACCCTGTCCATGCAGATTGACCACTTGTCACATTGCCTGGATTTTAATATAACATTTGTAGAACCCTTCATCTGTACTGAAACATGCATTATGAAATGCTGTTTCTTAAACATAAGCGAGATAAAGGCTGATAAAAGATGTTTTAAACATAAGCGAGATAAAAGATGTAGTAATACACTAATGTATTATGATACAAGTACATGCCTTTTGTACAAATTACTAGAGTTCCCCTCAAATGATAAGATAAGATTTTCATAATGTTATCCAACTAAACAAAAAAAAAGCCCCTCCTCCCATAGTGCACAAACAAAACAATGTTTTTTTGCCACCATATGAAGAATGTTGATCCCATTGAGGAGGACCCCATGCATGAGTACCCCTGACTACTCGTGTGTGCAGAGGTGTTAAAGGAACAGCTTCCCTTTCAGATGCAGCAGACCTGGCCTGGGCCTACAAGCCTGAGATGTACATGGAGTCAGCAGCCAGCAACATCAACTACCAACAGAACAGAGCACACAGGCAGAACATGCATGTAAGTGTGTGGATGGTGTGTTGTGCAGTGTCACATTGTGTTACTTGACCTTATTTTGTGCTGTGCTGTGCTGTTTTCTGTTGTGTTCTGCCATGTTCAGATGGTCAAATGGTGTACCGTAAGTATTGGTTATGTCAATGTAAAACGTTTTGATTACTAGTACTTGACCACTTCCATTCCTCAGTATGTATATGTTTTTTACATTATTTTCATTTGGGGAGAGGAGTCAATCTGGCTCAAATAATCTTTTCTTTGAAGTGTCTGTATTCTAAAATGTCTCCACAACATCATCAATGATGTTGCTGATTTCTGTATCTGGCCCATTTTCAAGCACCTTTGGCATCTGTTTCATTATTAATGTACATTTCAAATGTTGCTGAAATTGTTCCAACTGTTTGAGGAACCATATTTCCTCGGCTATGGTTTGTCTTGTATGACAGACGTGTGGAATGTCCCTTTCCCCAAATAGTTCTTGTCAGTTGCATTTGTGAGGTATTGTCACTACAAACCTGTTAATGAATATTCTCCAAGATAAAAGACATCAAAGAATAAATGTTAAATGTAGGTGTAAACTGTTCTTCTTTTGTTAAAAAAAGAACTTAAGTTCAATTTTCAAAGTGTTTTCTTTTCCATCTGTTTATTCTTGCACACCTGTAAGAATGTATCTTTTGACCTATGACAGATTCACTAGTGGTTAGGTATGTGCATGGTCAGTGATGTGAACACCTGACTTGAATGCATGTGTGTTTAATGTTCTGCTTGGTTGCATTTCCATATGTTGGATATGCATTATGTATGTCAAGAGTGTGTTGTACTTGTGCATGGTTCAGCTGTCTGTCTTTGTGGTTTGTTGATGTTTGGAGGTTTCCCTTTGTGTTTACTCCTTGCCATGAGGCCACTTTGTTTGTGTACACTGGTTCTGTTTTGTGTTGGTTTCTTCTTCCCTTTCTGTTGCAGTGTTTTTATTTGCATCACTGATTCCCTGATCTTCTTAAATTTCTCTACATGTATACACACACATTCTAATGTATAAAATGATTTTGAAAGGACAGATAAAACTTGCCCTTGTACCATGCACACGATAGAAAACAGTTGTCAAAAATAAAGAAGATATATAAAGAGAGCACAACATCTACTTTAAAGTGTTGAAAGTCAGCAAATGTCCTGGTAAAAAGTTTTTTTTGTTTCCTTCCCTCCATGAATAATGAGAAAAGTAGCCTTAGATTTTAGCTACATGTACAGACCTGCATCTATCTATGGCTAATGAGCTTGGCTGGCCTAGCTAAGCTGACTAGCCACCTCTGGCTGCATTTGCAGTATAGCAAACTGCTGTGTAGCCCCCTGGCACAGCTTGTGGATGCTGGCTGCAGTCTTCTGTATGGGGAAGTAGGTACATGGCCTGCTGGATTGCAGTTGTGGCTTAGGCTGTGTAGGTGACCAAACATGAATTCAGGAATGACAATGATATACAGCAGGAGACAGCAAACTAAGGAACTAATGGTTTGGAAAAAGAGGCTCTCTTCTATTTTCACCGTTGCTATAATAGCAAACCAGTGTACCAAACATCCTAACAGCAACGCATTGACACCACATTTGCAAGTGAAATGGGCATGCAAAATTACCTATCTGATATGAAAGTTCACAATAGTTCATAATACTGTGGGTAGTACTAGTAAGTATTTGCGAGAAGCTTCAGCTGTGTGTGTTACTCCTATCACATTACCTACTACAAGGTAACTACATGTATATAATAGGAATCTTCTCACATCTACAGAACATCTACACATACATTTATACCCTCTCTGTGTCTCTCTCCCTGCCAGACTTTTCTCTTTCCCTTCTTTCCTTACTATTGCTGTCCTTTCTTTATTCATGTAAGTACTGCCTCTTGCTTCTGTTGTCTTCTTCTGTTGGTATTTCTTTTATTTTTTTGCTTCCCATTTTATTTGCACAACCCCAAGTGACCAATTCTACCTTTGTTTTGATGACAAGCACACATTTCCCATGAAGACATAACATGAGCTTGATCTGTGCCAACAATATGTTGAGACAGTTCATACACTTTTTCTATTATACTGAGGTCTATCATTCACATTTCTGTCTGTATTATAAGTCTTGGATATCTTTCTGTGTATCCCAAAAAAATCTCAAAAGCAGAATCCAGTGGATGTGTTTGTTGTTGCAAAACCCACCCCTACATACATGAGATGGGTCACTTGTCCTCCCCTCGTACAAAACTATGTCCTTTTAGATAGGACATGAGTTGAGACAATCCCTTACACAGTTGTGTTTGGGCGTTGCAGACTCCCAACTCTAGTGACTCCAGTAAGAACAACACCCTGTCCAGTACTGACACCAGCACTAGCGATGAGAAGTGGTATGACACAGGAGACAACATGGAGCCTGAGTTCCCGTCCACCCAGCGTACAGCGTCCACAGACAGCGGGCTGGACGGAGCCATGATCCCCATGTCAAACCTCATGAAGGTGGGGAATCACTGTTTGGCACTGGCTTTAAAAAACTTCCTCCCTGACTCCCTCCCTCCCTGTATGTTTGAATGCATAACTTGCCAGGATATTGTCCCCCTTTGGTTTGATTGCTGCACACTACTTCTTAGGCTGAAATAAAATGTGCCATGTACTTACATTGTACATGTACAATGTATATTGTTTGACTGAAATTGTGACTATGATAAACTTGCTAGTCACTTTATTTGAAAGATGATAAAGAAAGTAGATTCATCTTCACAGATGTTTGAAGGATAGACCCCTTTTTGTCATGATGAATAGACACATTGCTAACTACTATGAGATTGACCTTACTGTTGTGCTATTTTAGGCAGGGGATCGGGAAGGTTCCACCCAGCATGTGGGGGAGTCTCCTGAGAATTTCCACACCCCTCCTGAGAACACTGTGGATGTTCCTGACTTCATGCAGCATCCACGGTACCGCAGCAGCATCACCAGGGCCATGGAGAAGGTGGGTCCTGGAGAGAGAAGCTAGTAGCCAACCTATTTTGACATGACAAAGTTATTGTTCTGCTGTCCTGAATTGCTATGAATTTTGACCAAGACCTTGTTAAACATAAGCAAATCAAATGGAGTGACAGATTCAGAGTATTTTGTTAAAGCATGTGCAGATCAAAAAAAAATTTTAATTGGTCATAATTTCCTTCAAGATTTCTTCTCAGCACCTTCCCCGGAAGTATTCATTCTTTAAACAGCATTGTGTAAAGGTAATGTATAAAGACAGTTGACATTATTTCCTAGATGAGAGGCCATGACCCTGACGGTCTGCGAGCAGGGCCACAGGACCCCTCCAACAGCACCTCCAACCTGAGCGAGGTGTCGTCTCACTCCCAGTCCAGCGACGGCAGTCTGGGGTCAGGACACAGGGACAGGCTCAACATCGCCACCAGGGGTAGGCAGACTGCTCAGCTGGTATCTCTGCAAATTTAGGGACTCACTTACTCTCTATACACTGCCAATTGGGACACTAAAATAGCTACATAGATTTGTGGTACTGGTATGCCTCTGCATGTCAGGAGTTAAAGACTGACACAGGGTCTAGGACTGTTGCCAAGGAGAGTAGTCTGTGTATCAACAATGTTGTACATGTTGTTTATGACATACATCACATTCCCATTTGTGGGGTGTGTAACTGCATTAGCTGAACAACATCCGCATGATTCATAATTACTACAATTCATGTACACAGATATGAGCCAAAGTCCATAGAGTCGATAGTCCTTTGTTCTTACCATGTCTCTGAAATTAGGTTAAGTTAAACTTTGTTTTGACTCTCCAACACTTCCATTGGATTAGTATTGGTACTTACTAAATGCTGAAACTGGGGGTCACCAGGGGCACACATCAGGCTCCTCTGACCCCATTTGTCAACGCTAATTTGCTCTTCATAGATCTGTATCAAACAGCACAGAGCTTTTAGATCCTCTGATGCTTATCTCAGTTCCAGAATATTTAATGTACATGTACATGTACTGTGAACAGCAGTGTGTCTAGCTAGCGGAATGTACCAGTGACATGTCACCTTGTTATTTGTCATTCCTGTTACCCAGACATCGTAGCTGCTGATTCAATAGCCTATTGGTCTGTTTATCGTCTGTATCTGTGGTGAGGCAGATTGACTGAAAATTGTTGTCATTGTAGTGATTGTTCCCCTGTTCCAACAGATGGCAACCCCAGCCCTAACAAGTCCCAAGGCTCGCCCACACAGCGGAGGAAGAAGGCTGGACCCAAGAAGTACCCGCCAGACGACAGCGCCAGCAGCGCCAGCAGCAGCAGTCCCAAGGCCTCGCTACGCAGCTTGGTGATGGAGGACAGCGGCGGGACACGGTCGCGCCCGGGGTCCATCGCCACGCGGGGCAGCTCTCGCACGGCCGCGCTGCTGCAGGCTGCTAGCATGCAGGAGGATCTGCTGAAACTCATCAACCCTGATGTCTCTGAGGCTGAAATTCAGGTACAGAACATGGATGAAACTTCTTCTAACATTAGTATGTGCCCTGAAAAGTCTTTGATTCATAAAATTCTAAAATTTGCAGGTAATGAATAACATTGAAGTGTATACATGAGCATATATTATAACCAGAAAACTGACTTTTGCACAGCCTCTCCTTCGCACATCAGTAAAATAAGGACTGTACATCCACATAGTTATGTTTACATTGAAAGTGACACCAGTTTGTACCCACCAGGCCTCCAACAGCAGAGATGGTGCCAGTGGCCCCGGCAGACCGCCCATCCCACGCACTGTGTCAGACGAGAGCATGAACGGTTCGCGCCTGAACATGAACCGCAGCAGCAGCCATGATTCCCTGGACCATGCAGGACGCGGAGAGTCGACATTCAACAGTGCGGTTCCTCTGCTGAGAACCTACCCCACCAGGATGAGTGCCCAGTCTGCACATGTCAGAGGTAATGTCCTTACTGTCATGTCTCTTGTCATGCATTTCTTACCATGTAAAATGTAGGACAATCATCAGAATACATGCTGAAAAAAATGTCAAGAAAGGCAGGTTTATTGAAATGACATGCATGGATTGTCAGAGAAGTTATGGACAATGTGCAATGTAAGAATACTTGTACTTGAGGGCATGTGCAATCGAAAAAAGAAACTGAAACATAAAGCAGAAGAACCCACCCCTCTCCATACGTTCCAAATGGAATCACCCTGACGTGCTGCCTTGATGTCTACAGAAGGAGGGCGTGACAAGGGTTACCCTGGCAACATGCTACCCCTCCCCGATCCTGCCGCTGGGATCAACTGGAACAACCTGGTGGAGACGGCCAAACAGTTCGAAGGTAGGAAGATTCTCCAGTGTCTGGCCAGAGATGTCCCACAGGTTCTTACAGGGGTCCTTTTACTGGATACATTAATTCCAAATAATTTTCGGGGGACAAAGTCAGTCTTTAAATTTGTGGTTCAGTTTTTTAATGCTCAGCCCAAATATCCTCCATGTTTTGGGAGGACTGGTCTATAATCTTTGTTTTTGAGAAGGCTGAGCAATTTAAAATTAATTTACTGCAGTTCAGTGTACTGGAGTTCTGGATTATGTTGAAGATGGGTGTTTTTCATAAATTACAACCAAAGGTCAAATTGAGGATGAATTATAAGGAAAAAAGAAACACACATATGGATACTAAATTTCAATGCTGAACAATAGAAACTGCCAGAATCAATAGATTTTCATGGCCAGATGGTGCAGCCTGCAACACAAGTCTTGGCTGAACAGGTTTGCTGCATGCCACTGGCTGGCACAAGAACTGATGGGATGTCAAAATAATCATGCTATAGATTGTTACAGTGATTTGTTTGTTGATCTTTTAATCATGCCAATCATTTTGATACAGGCTTCATGAATAAATCTACAGCGCCCCTTCACAAGCTTACTTCTGTAGTCACTTATAATATCTAAACTATACAGGAGAACTGCTCCTTAGTGCCTAGCTTTTCCTGGCAGTGGACATGCCCTTGTCTGACTCCGCCCTTGTTGCCATGGTTACAGCCCACTGGGGGAAGGAACTGGATCTGTCCAGCCTCTCGGACCTTTCCGTACAGGGTAATGACCTCTGGTGACCTCGGTACTCATGGCATGCTGGGAGACTGTTGCAGTGCATGTCGGCACAGCCCCCCTCCCCCATGCAACGCCTGCCCTTTACTGCAGCTTCCTGCTTAACTCTAACTAAAATCAAGCTGTGTCTCTCCTGCTGCTTGTTGTGTCTGGAGTAATTCTTTTTTTCTTCTCCTCTTTTGTCCACTTTTGTTTCCGTGAAGGGAAAATGTTTCTCAATTATTTTGAAAGTTAAAAAAAAAGCTTCTCAGCAGTATGCACAATGGATGATTGACTAGATTGTGCAATATATTGGCAGTCTTAGGATTATGATTTGCCCAGATACCACAGCAAGTGCTGTATTCTTGTCCAAAATAAACCATGGTGCGATGGATAACAGTGAACTTTCCACAAGTCCCATGTGAATTCTGGATGAGGCATATCGGTGCCTAGATAGGGTGTACATGCACACACCATGATTTCAATAACATGGATTATGATATTATTTTAATAGATCGTTTTGGTGTGTGGAATATATGCAATGAGTGTGAATGTTATGAGATCAGTAGTGAAAGTTCAATGGTCTAATGACTATATAATGTGCTTTACAACTGGGATTACAGTTGCAGAATCACGGCTTGTACCAGGCATACATGTGTATGTGTTACAAAAAGGAACATTTTAGTTCAAGAATGTCTTTTGTTAGAATTTTGGAGAGGTCTTGGAGTAGCCTGGAGTAGAGATGTGAACACATTATAGAAGCCACCTGATCTGTAACTTTTTCCTTCATTGGTATTGTTATACTTTGTCCCAGCTTTGTTTATCTTCTTACTCCGCTCCTAAACAGCTCTACCCGCCTCCTCTAACCTCATGTCCAATGTCACAGGCAGACCGCCACATGACACCATTCACACGCCCTGAGAATGCCGCTTATGTGCCCTGCAGCCACATTCCCTAGGGCAGTACATTGATTCTGTGTCATACTAGCAAACAGGAATTGCTTTGGTTGCTTTCAACACTAAATTACTCTATTCAAACAGCCTTCTGTATTTCTGAGAGTAATGAGCAAGCTTGAAAGCAACCATATTGTACAAATGTCTTTTTAAGCCTATGCAAAAATCTATTTTTTATCCTTGTCACCATTTAATTCTCATTGATTTGACGTTATGCACACTTTGTGGGCTAATTAATGAATTTGTGGAACTCTACAAAGTATTGTTAGATATGGCTAGTGTACAACCCATTGTGCTTCGGCAGCAGTCTGTCTAAACCACACAGTTGACTTGCTATGGCCAGACAGCTATATTTACAGCCCCTCCCAGCTGTGAGCAATACGTGGTCATCAGGGCGGCATCTGTTTCAAGACAGCAGCATGCTCCCAGCCTGCACACATGGGGTATAACTACCGGCTGCACCAGAGCCTACTCACACTTGTGCAGACCTAACAGCCTCCACCCCCTGCATGACAAAGTCATAACTCTGTGTACACAACCCAGGTAACCCTTGCTGTATTGTGGCGTCCAGGTGGTAACAATGGCGTATTCTGTCGCAGGTATCGGGCCCTCTCCAGTTACAAACAGACCAGCACCTGAGACTGAGGCGAGGCCATCAGGAGAAGGGAACGAAGATCGATCTGGTGGTACAAACTCTGAGAACAAGCTGCAGCCGTCCGCACGGATGAGTGCAGGGGTGAGTTATGATAGAACACGAGACATATAAAATGGTGGTTAGCTCAAGTTTCACGCAAATTCTGGTACAAAATTTGTAAATTGTACTAAATGTTTTATGGACAGTCATGTAAAAATGACAGTTAAATAGACAAAAGTTGTCTAAAAATGAAGGGTCAAATCTGTAGCCATACTATTCTGGGAAGCCATTCTGGAAGGTAGTCCTTGAAAGTCAGTTAAAGTGAGTTATTTTAAGTGCAGAAGAGTGCATGGTATTACCAGGATTACATGTAATAAGGTCAGTGGAAACAACTATAATGGTTGGAATACTGGTGATTATGGAGCATCTGTAAGCTATTAGTTAGGAGGGAGGCCGAATTGTATGCAATCAAATGACTTCAGTGCTATTGCAGTCATAATAGTTTCCAGGTCATTAATTGAACTTTATTACAATAATCATTACCAGTTAGATATTTTATGGCAAGAAAACTCATTCTCATAGAATAGTCCAAGAGCAACAGAAGGCCATTTGTGGACCCTTAATGATGTGTACATGCCTGAGGATATCCCTGTAAGCCCTGTAATGTTACAGGCAAGATAAGCCTTTTAAGCACTCACAAATTTGGTCACAATTTCATGTCAAAGTCTTAACATTCCCATCTAAGTCTCAAGAGGCTACCAAATTTCAAAGTGACTTCGCAGAAGCCTTTCTTTTAGTCTTAATTTTTTAAGATGTTTTACCTGCAATTGAGGAAAAATTGTCTGTAAAAAAAAATGGGAAACACTTCTCCAGAGAAACATGTTTTTCTAGACTACCTATGATGTGTAGCCATGCTTTGTCAATTTGGCATTGGAAATCACATATACTCAAACAGCTTTCATATTGTTGTGTGTTGTATAATGCAACAAAGAAGTTCAAGTGAAAACTTGATAACAGCTGTCCTATTTTGGAGTCGTCAAGCTATCAGGATAGTCAGCACTTTTGGAGTTTCATGAATGGTGATTCATAAAACAGCCCTGGGTTTGTTAGGCCAACATCAAGCCTGGAAAATTGCTGGTATCCATCTCTTTCCCCTACAATCACCAGTTTGCCAGCAAATTGTAGGTTGCTGGTGGGCTTTTAGTGTCCTGGGAAAAGATTATTGGTCATTTCTTTGGAGTATATCTATGCAAGTATTACTTTTCACCATGGCAACAACAACAACAATGAAAACAATATTACATCCCAGATTGAACCCATTCTTCCACTCATAGGAAACCAAGGATAAGTTACAAACTGTGTTTATTGATTGCACAGGTAGAGTTTGTACCTGTCTCGCTATAGCTGTGTGCTATTTTCTGTCCCCTTCAAATAAAAGTACAAATTTTGTTTGTTTCCCCACAGCAACAGCTAAGGAGAGACCCGGAGGAGTCCCAGAGAGGAAGAAGGTTTGTTTGTTGGTTTGCTTGTTGGTTTTTGTTTGAATGCACTTGGAACTAATTCTGAAAAATAGTTGGGTATGGGTTATGGATCTAATCAAGTATTCCTGTCCGTCCACAGACCACAGTCGGCCCTTCAACGCTCCACAGAGCTGGAGACACGGGTGCGACAACTCCAGGAGGAGCTCAGAAAGGTACCACTACACATTAAAATTCT